CCCCAAAAAAAATACAAAATGAAAGAATAAATAACGTCCGAGGGCGCACCACACAGAAGCTCCAAGCAGAGCCTCAGGTTCACAGGCTAGTAACAGGAATTTGTTCCCGATTCCTCTGGAGCCTCGTCATTGATATGTGGTCCGCGGCGTTGTCCTAGCAATTTGGAGGTGTTCTGCTGCCTTGAAAAAGTATATGAGCCCTGGAATTGATGAACCAGACGACAATAAATGATAATCCAGCGACAAATCCCCCGAGGCAGATGCTGAGAGTCTCGACAGTGTCAGAGGGCTTGAGGAACATGCGAACACTGAGACTTCCCCAGATGGACTCTGTCCAGGTGGAGTACACCCCGGACTTCATCGAGTACTTGGGTATGATGAAAGCAGGACTAACAGCTGACGTATAATTAACAGTTGAGTTGATGCAACTCCCATTGAAAGAATATCCTCCCATCCAGGCAAGCCTGTGCTCATGGCACTCGTGAGCTGTCATATTCATCTTCACACCAGTGAGAAGAGCCAGCAGCTGTCCTGTGAGGCTCGTGGCCCTATTGGGGCTAGTGGCAACACTCACGTAAAGAGATAATGGTTGATTTTCTAATTTAACACCTGGGGGAGAGGCGGCCCTGAAGAGATTGCACTTTGTGTCACCGGTATAACAAGAGAGCATCTCTGAAATTAATCCCTCGATGAAGCTCTCGTTTCCACCTGGTGACTCCACTCCTGTCACGTGTTTATACAAAACATCTCCCAATTTAATCGCGATTCTCGTCAGGGTCTCGTTGATGGGCCTCTTGTCCACCCCGAGAGTTTCAGAATTATCTAAAATTCCACTGTAGTAATTATTCGTAAACTTCTCCCCGTAAGAGGCGATCAGAGCTGTTGACAGAGTCGGTTTCACCCTGAGGAAACTCTGGATCGACGTGGGGGGAACACTACCCTGGAGGAGAGTTGCTCCGAGGGTTGTCTCGAGGGATTTAATGAGGCTATCGTTCGTCGGGGAGTAGTTGTTCGTGTGGAGGAAGATCTTGTCGTCTGTCAGTTGATTAAGCTCGATGACAGTCTTTATGGAGTCGAGGGGGAGATTTTTTCCTGCCAGGGCGTTGAAGTTGCCCTCTTTCAGATCGTAGGCGAATCGACTCGAGCCGATATAGTCGAAGGCCTCTCCATTCAATAAGGAGAACAGAACATTCTCGTTGCTGACTGTTGCATTCAGGGTATTCATGTAGTAGGCTATCGCCAGAAGTGTCACTAGAGCTGTCACTGCACTATTGGCACCTGGGGCCACTGTGTCGAACATCGAGTTTGCGTCCAGGCGGGCTATCACCAGGGTCACAGAGTCCTTGGAACTCTTCAGGGGAGACAATGGCCAGTGGATGTTCCTGTCACCCAGAGGATCGCAGAATCTTGTTGGATTCATGTAAAGAATTAAATTATTTCGCCTGATGCACGTCTCGGAGTCCACTGCTGATGACATGAACGACTGCATCTCCAGGGCGCAAAGTGATCTTGAGCGTTGGGACTCTCGGTCGTGGGCATTGTGCTTTGTGTAACAGGTGCGCATCTCTTGGAGTAATGTATCGTTCTCGACGTAGAACATGGGAAATGGCCAGTCTTCGTACAGAAGATTATTTCCCTGTGGGTTCCAGGGTTTCTCAGGATCGCACATTTTTGATCCAGAATATCTATTTGGACACGTGTCGTCGGGTGAATAACTGGACGGAAGTGTGTGACTACTATTTTTCGCTAATAGAATTCCATTAATATTGTTTGTACTCCGAAGACGATGCAGCACGTCTTTGGTGAACATCGAAAAGGGCATGACGGCGGTGTAGGGCCCTGCTGTGGCATTTTTCTCAAGCCACTCCACATCCTCAAGGGCATCGACCATCTGGATCACGCCAACACTCCCTCCTCTTCGTGCTGGTGATCGATAACAATTTTTTATCGCAAACCAGTCTCAAACGAAACTGTGAGAAAGAGTCAAGGTCAACAGATCGAAAAATCTACTCGAGTTTTCGAGGAATATCTCCGAATCTATGAGAGATAGCGAAATTTTTTGAGAACCCTTTCTGCACATCACAGTTCACACAATAAAAACGGTCATTACAAAAATTTCAGTATTTTTTATAGATTCTGAGATATTCAATCATTTGTTGAAATCACTTGTTATCTCTCATCTTTTCGTTGTTTAATTTTTATTCACTGATATTTTTCAAATCGAGTACTTACAGGAGCAGCCGAACTGGTGAGTTCCATTGTGTCTTCGGAAACAAGCTGCCACTCCATCAATGGACATATAAATCATATCCTTGATCCTTTTTGTCGAGGCTGAAGTTAAAAAGATAACAATTCATGAAACACAACTCCTCCTAAATTCCCATGACCTTCAATTTTTTTTCATCGATATTGAAATTAAAAAATCCATAATTCAATTATCAATACAGATGATAATGAAGCTAAAAAAAAATCTTGGATTGAATGACGTCTCAGTGGAGCTTCATAAAATCATTAGCGACGTTCCCTCGGTTTATGGAAATAGCGACAATTATAAATAATTGCTTAAAATGACGCAAATGTAAAAATTGACTAGTGTGCGTCATCGATGGTTGTCATTATTGAATTAGCGGAATTGCAAATGCGGTTGGGCTTTGAAGAAAACAGTTCTTAGGTTACCTATGTCTGTCACAGCTAAAAACACGATCAAACTGCACCACAACAGACGCGACATTTTTATTCTACTGTATGTGTCAAGAAAAAAAAATAAGAGCGCGTTACATTATAAATAGACACGAATTCAGGAAAATACTGTCAGATAAGGCTCGATCTCGTTATCAAAGAGGATTGGCTGAAGTTGAGGTTCAGTTCTCAGGGCTTGGACAGCCCCAAAGAGGATTGACTAAGGTAGAGACTCAGTTCTGGGGGTTTGAGTGACCCCAGCGGCATCGTAGTACTGCATCCCAAGAGAGGGAGGGCGCAACACGCAATGTTCGGGTGTCCATTAAGTCGACGGGGTGAATTTTATTTTCTGCGGCATGAATGCTTTTTATTTTTTATTTGTTTGACTGAAATCTAGCCGACTGTAGAAGGAGCGGAAGGGGGAAGCCACATCTTGTGGAATTTCAAATAGAAAAATAATTCAATGTGTTGAACATATACTACTAATAAAATTATTTTTTCATAATAAGCGCGTTGTCTAGTCGGCAGCGTGCTCGCCTGCCACGCGGGCGGCTAGGGTTCGATCCTAGCGCCATTCATTTTTTTTT